ATGCAGCTTGGCCTGCTGTGTTCATCCAGCTCTACACCTTGTTATCTCTGTTTCTCTTGTGAATCAGGTTGTTAGTATCCTGTAGTTTTGAAATTTTCTACTTTGCGAGCATTTTTTTCTATATCCATTCTATCCAGCCCCGTCAAGATTTTGAATACCTATATCTAATCTTCTGTTCTCCAAGGAGAATAGTCCCAGCTTTACCAGCCCATCAAAGTGACTGAAGTTCCTCATCCCTGGAATGATTCTTGTAAATCTTTTTTGCAACCTCTCTGATACCTTCACACTTGTCTTTTTATATGTGCCTAGAATTTGGCAAAGTATTCTCATCGACAATGAAACAGTGCTTTACTCATATTTATCATAACCTCCTTGTCTTTCTGTACTGTATGCCCCTATTTTGAAGCCCAGAATTCTCCATGCTTAATTAACCCTTTCTCAACTTGTTCTGACACCTTCAATGTTTTATCACAAATACCAAAGTCCCCTTGCTCCCGCACCCACTTTCTAATGTATCCGCTCCTCATTCTATCTAACAAAATGAATCATTTTGCACTTCTCTGCATAAAATTTCATTTGTCCCTTGACGACCCATTCCACAAGCCTGTATGCATCCTCTTGAAGATTATCACTATCCTCAAAGTTTGTAATATTTCCAAATTTTGTGTTACCTCTTCATTTTACCCAAGTTTAAGATTATGACTTGCTCATTAATATAGATCAAGAAAAGCAGGGACCCTCATACTAATCTCTGGAGAACTCCGTTCTATAACTTCTTCCATAATGTAAACAATTGCTCACAACTACTTCCTGTTTCCTGTCACTCAACGAATTTCATGTCCATGCTGCTCCTGTTCTTCTTATTCAGTGGGCTCTAATTCTGTTGGCAAGCTGCCAAGTGACATTTTATCAAATGTCTTCTGGCAGTCCATGTATACTGCACCAAAAAACTGAGCCAGATTAACCAAATTAGAATCGATGAGTTTCAATTTTAGAATTTGTCAGTTCTAAAACTGAAGGTTGTATGGAGTTGGATAGGCTGCAAACTGAAGATATAAGGGAATGTAGAAATATCAAAGCTCTGATAGTGGTACATTTTTGGAGCCTACCAAGTTACTTGTTGAATTAAGACACTTGCTCCTTGAGACATGTGAGCAGGAAAGCTCCTAATTGTTGCTTAAGATTCTGCAAGCTTTTAGATTTTTTTTGTTTTTGAGACTTAAAATTACTTTTCTCCATTATTTAAATTAGCACTGTTTATTGCTCAGATAAAGTTTAAGTCAAGGTTTGCACTTTGATTTAGCACTAATACCTGCTCATTTGAAGGTGATAGCATTTCTTCAGGGCAATGACATTTTCAAATTTCAAATAAATTAAAACAAAATAATCTAATTTTCAGTACTTTGCAAAATAAATCCATTTTATATCATGCTGAAATTTGTATCATTAGAATTTTCCCCTGGAAGCTGTCTTCATTGAGATTTCTTTCCAACATTGCACAATTAAATCTCAGCCCTCCAAGTTTAAATTGATTAGATTTAATTGACAAAAATATAAAAATGCATCAGACAACATGAGAAAATATAAATTACACTGGCTTCTCAGCCACTCCAATTCATCTCTCTGATGATTATGAGAAATTATACTATGTGAAACTTTAGTAAACAGAACAGTCATAGAGTCACAGCATGGAAATAGACCCATCGGTCCAACTCATTCATGACAACCAGATATCCTAGATAAATCTAGTCCACTTTCCAGAATTTGGCCCATTTCCGTCTAAACCCTTCGTATCCATATACCCATTCAGATGCCTTTTCAATGCTGTAATTCGTGGCAGCCTCCACCACTTCCTCTGGCAGCTCATTCCATTAACGTACCACCCTCTGCATGAAAAAGATGCCCCTTAGGTCCCTCTTGAATCTTTCCTCTCTCATCTTAAACCTATGTCCTCCAATTTTTGACTCCCCCACCCCAGAGTAAAGACCTTGTCTATAAACCCTATCCATGCCCCTCATGATTTTTTAAACCTCTGTAAGGTAACCCCTCAGCCTCCGACACTCCAGGGAAAATAGCCTCTCCATACCTAAAACCCTCCAGCTGTGGCAACATCCTTGTAAAACGTCTCTGAAGCCTTTCAAGAAGAAAATATTTTTATGTCAAGAAGAGAATATGGCACAGAAATCCCTCTTCAAAACTCAAAACCCCACCTTCTTTTGATTTGGTGAAACACAATTTGTATGATTTTAGGTTATCAAAGGTTCAGTATTAGATCCAAAGCTGAAAAGGAATGGTTTATTGGGTTCAGGGGTTATTCATTTTTTTTGCACACCAAACAATATTTCTGTTTCATTATCGAGTAGTATAACAAGAACCTGTGTGTGGCAATAAGTTACGGCAGGTATGAAGTCCTGGATAGTAAGCAAAGCAGCGTGTTGTATGCGGATTGCTGTTAAATGATATTACTAACTCTGAGATAAAAGGGGCAGTTGTTAATGCAGGAAGGGTTAATGTTGAGTGAATATTAACCATTTTGGGGTTACTGAATAACTAGAGCTTGGAGATGAATGGTGGCAAAATTATTGTGAATGAGTGTTGATTTCAGGTGGTATTTCATGGCTAAGAGCTTAGTAATTAGGACTTCTTTAAGTTTTTCTTTTCCACTGCACTTGCAAGAATACCCAGTGAGGAGGCTGTCCCAAAGGATAGTGGGGTAGCCACTTTCAACCACATTTTAATTGGATCATAAATGGTGTTTGCTTTATCTATAGAGACTGGATTCTGTATGATAATTGGCATGCTGAGATCATTTAGAAATGGTTGATATAACATTCTGGCCCATTGAACAGGAGGATCTGCTGTTCTCACAGTTTGACAATCAATGCATCACTGCCCACAACTCATTCTGAATGTGCATTTGTTTGTCCTGTTGCTTCATTGAAGATGTATAATTACCCCAACTTCCAAAAAAAATCAAGAGCTAGTTTAATTAAAATCTAATTTCTACAAGAATGACCTAAATCCAACTTACATATTTTTCACGAATTAAGTTTTTTAACAGAGCCAACAAATACATACGTATTGATATGTTAGGGATATCTTGAGAGAATATATTGGACCCTTTAGTATTTTCAACATTTGTGCAGCAGGTGGTCAATCTCTTTGTACAAAGTCATACATTGTACTTGAGCAGAGTAAACCTGTGTGCCTCTAAATTAAGTAAATAGGAATACAGTCCCCACTTCTCAACAACAAAACACATTCAGATTAGTAGCATGGATTGGTGCTGTTTTGTATGTTTATTTTTGGATATTATTTTCTGTGTCATCTCACACTTAAACCTAAAAGATTGATTTAATGAATGTCTAATTTATCAAACTTACACATTTTAGATTCAAGGATTTTACATAGGATAATAAATTACATTTTAAAACTGTTATGAACATAGGCTTGACACAATAAATCAACTTAATAGCGAGAAGTAATTTACAATGCCATTAAATGATTCATTTAGCCTAGCAAAATAAGAATTTTATATTTCTTTCCTATTTAAAATTTATATCCTGTCCCTTTTTGGTTTGCCTAAATAGGGCAGTTGACCTGACCATGTCTGATTCCAGAACTCTGCCAATTCTGCTACTTAACTAACAGTTCAGGGATACATGGGGATGGTATAGAAGACTCTGCCAGTGACTTTTTGCTTTACTCCAGCTGAAATATATATGTGTATCCTACTCAATATCTTCCACTAATGACTGAACTAAGATTGGGAATCCTGTGCATGAGAAGTAATAGGCAAACAGGACTATCCTAACATTGATTGATTCCACACATTAGTACAGCAATGCAATGCATCAGTGGACTGTCCATATGATTTGTCCTTTAAAATACTTGTATTTATGTGCATACCAATAGATGTTGGTGTCTATTTTAGATTATCAAGTATCAGAGCATTCATTATTTGTCAAGAAAATCTGAGTCCAATCATTTATTCAGTCTCACAAGATCCAAGAAGAATTCTCATACTTTGAATATGTTACTGCTATAAGAATGCTGAGATATTGTTTATCCTCTTCATCATCTGAAAAACAAAATTGCAGGCCAGATCTAACTTGCCAAACAATGTGGTAGGCTATGGCAAAATAGCAACAAAAATTGTATGTACCCTACTGCAAGAAGAGTTGCAAATTCATGTTCCATCTGACAAATAAATTCCATCGAGTTTATCAAATATGAAATCATTAGTTCAGACAGAAATCACAATTTGCTTCCATAAGTGTTTAAAATACTGGGCATTCTGCACTTTGAAATTGCAAATAGACTGAGCTGCTTTTTTTTGTTTCAGGGTGGGTACACTGCCTACAGGTATGCCCAACCTGCCACTGCCACTGCTGCAGCCTACAGCGACAGGTAAGGAAATCTCACCTTTGTGGATTTATCATATTGTAAATTACATGACACAATGCTAGTTTAAAAATAAGGAACTGGTTCTCAGTAAATAATGGATTATCGCTCAAACAAATAACACTGTTGAGTTGTGATTTTATGGAAGCCACTGCTCTAAGGTTAACGTGGCTGCTCTAAATTGGCTGAGTCATGATGCAGAGGTGCCTGTGTTGGACTGGCATGGATAAAATCAGAAGTCACACGATACCAGGTTACAGTCCAACAGGTTTGTTTCACAAGTTTTTGGAGGGTATCTCTGATGAAGGGGCTATGTTCCAAAAGTTTGTGATTTCAAATAAACCTATTGGACTACAACCTGGTGTCATGTGACTTCTGACTTGGTTGAGTCATAATATTTTTTTCTACAATGTACTTGATAACTATTATGCCACTTTCTAAGCATTGATTTGGACTGGTTCTGAACTTGCAGCTATTTTGTGTAAAATTCTGAAAGAGTTTGCTAAATCCTAATAAAAAAAATACTGATTTGCCTTCTAGAATGAACTTGACTCGCTTTAATTTAACTTGAAAATCTAAAATGGTTCAATGAAATCTAAGTTGAAAAGAGCAAATTGGCTTGAGTTTTAGTGTTTAGCCGCAGTCTAAATTGAATTTAGCAGAATGCGTTGCTCACAAAGAGCAAATTGAGAGTTTTCAAACATTCCCACTTCCATTGTAACTTAAAATGCCCTGAAAAACCGTAAAAATACAGTACAACCTCATCGCCCATAATCTGCAAGGAGAAAAGGCAGACCTCAGTTATTACTGACAGTCCTGTAGATGGCTTCTCACAATGTATTGCTTCAGTTATGGTTTACTCTTCGCTCCCTGAAATATAGTCAATGCTTCATATAACCTAAACCCCGAGTGAAATAAGCTGCACCCTTCCTGGTAGTTGGTGCGGGTCTGGATGTCATTACTGTTCTCTGTACTGAGCCACCAAAGGAAGCAATTGATTACAAATCAATACTGCAAAAAAGGGGAGATGAATACATCTTCGCCAACAGACCTGCAGATAAAGCTTTCATTCTTTTGATTAATATTTCACACCTCATTTGATTGTCTTTCCCAAAACAAAAATTTTATTAATTTTCTTAATAGTTCCAAATTAATTTGCATAAGTTGGTTTATTTCATCAGAATGATATAATCTCACAAGCAATGAGGATAAGTTGTGTTTTGAAATACTTAATGGAAAGTGAAACAAGCTTTAGCTCGATAAACATCTGATAAACAGAGGAATATGTTGTTCAGGTTAGATGAAGAAGAATGAGAGGAAGTTCTTGTGGAGAATAATTGTGGCATAAACCAGTTAGATTGAATGGCTTGCCATCCATGTAAGAGATGAAATGTCATTGAATACCTCTGTAGAGGACAAAATGAACTTAATTTTTGATTTTTGATAAAAGATGACATAGTATTTGCTCACTTAATTGAAACAGCTTTGTTTTTCTCTTTTCTGCGATTATTTTTCCTTCTCTGTCACTTTCAAGCTATCAAATTTGACTGGTTCTGGATTTGCAGCAGCTTTGTCTGGGTAGTCACTGATCTCTTGTACCTCACCAAGTGACAGTAAGGGCCAGAAAATCATGTCACTGTAGGGACATCACTGCATACTTCCACCCTCACCCACAGTCCACACAAATGCATTTGATTGTAGGGAGCACTGAAATGCTATCAGAAGCAGTAACTGTGGATGATTTTGCTTTCTTTCTTCCCCAACCCAGGGTCTAAGACAGTTTGTTTCTGCTACCTAGGCAGAGGCTGGAACTGACCTTGCTCATTATGACTTAGTATCACATTTGGCGTATTCACATTCTGACTGTTGGAAGAACTAGCAATCTGTTTGTATATATTTTTGCTTGAAAACAAATTTATTGGGAAGTCTTCGGAGATCCAAAGCAAAATTGGCATAGACCAGTAGGCTTGGTTGAGGAATTAAAAATGGAAATTTGCTGGAAACACGTAGCAACTCTGGTAACATCTGAGGAGGTAGAAATAGAGTTAACATTTGAAGCATAAGACCAAAGTTTCCAGGTGGGGTCTGGAACCTGACAATTTGAAGAATGCTGGGTCACAAACCCATTCGCAGTCAGCAGTGCTGTTTTTGTACTGAAATGGTTTCATTGGCCAGGAGGCAACCAGAGCTTCCAATCACAGGCAGTAAGAGCTTCTCGGAAGCTGGAGCATAACAAAGGCAGATCCAGAGATCCAGCAGCATTGTTGACGATAAGAGGGACCATGTAAGGACAAAAAAAAATGAAGGTACAGCCCAAGGCTAGCTCCAAGTTGATCCAAAGACCAAGGCAACAAAACTTTACTTTTGGCACCATGATGAACATGTGCAGATGTCCACGAGAATGTTGAGATTTGCAGATATAAAATTTTAAATTCCATTTTGGTCAGCTTCCTTAACAAGCTCCTTAAGGAACACAAGGGGCCTTTATTTGGAACACATTTCCTTCTTCCACTACCACAGCGATAATTGTACACTGTTTCAAGGCCATTGGAATCCCAAGTACGTTTCCGGAACCACAGCTTTTAAATTGCACTAGCACAATGTCCTGACACAGATCCTATGAAAATTTGACACATTAGCTCTCCTTCACTCACCACAGTCGCTGCCAGATCTGCTGAATATTTGCAGCATTTTTTGTTTGCAGTCTCAGATTTCCAGAATGTGCAGTATTCTGTTCTTGCATGAGGTTTGGTGGAGGGCTGTTTCAGGATCTGGTTCTAACCTCAAGTTGATCACCTGTTCAGATCAGGATTACCCCCCGGATAGTAGATTGCAGTAGTTTTGCTTACACTTAATTAATAATTCAATATTTTTTCTATGTTGTATCAGTTAACTGATGGTAATAGTAAAGGGAGATTGAGTTAATTGATGGATGATAGTCTTTAAATCATGTCCTTTCAATTGAATCTTGTTCTGGTGTTAGAACTAGCGCATAAGTTTTAAAAAGTCCATGAAGGCTACATAAGCGTGGATTCCAAGGGAGTTGGGCGAGGGAATGCGAGGTACGTAATGTGTACCATTCAGATCCCTCCTCCTAGAAGAAAAGTAAGTTCCAAATGAACGATTATTAAAATGCCTGCTTCTCACTAACAATATGCTGGGAATGATCTCAACTGGCTGAAGACTAGACTTCTACCCCTCTGCCCCTTTGGAAGCAAGGCCCATCCTCGAGCTGCCAGCCTATAAGGTTGATGAGCTGATCTACCAGTCCCAGTAGTGCCAGTCTCAATGGTGGACACTGCTGGGATTGCAAACATCTCCATGAGGAAGAGTGAGGTAGGCCCTAGTTTCTAGAATAGGAAGGGATTGGTCATTCTTGCATGGGGGGAGGGAGCTTGGAGGCCAAGGGGGAGAGGGACAAAGAGTGAGTGATATCTTGCATTGCGGTGTCCTGATGCATACAGGATTACCCCCACCACTTCCCAGTCCCACCTTGTTACGAAAAGCAGTTTAAAAAATGCAATTTACATTACACTGCTGCCCCACCACACCCCAACATAAAACATGCCCCCGCAAGGAGACTAAAATCTAGGCCATTGTCGACAGTGCTGGTTGCAGTTGTGATCAGTTCTGCTAATAAACATTTTAAATGTTCTACCAAAGAATGAGTTAGTATAATTTAAATATTTCACTCCAAAGGAAACTCAAGCTTTAACTCATTCAGTCTTTACTGTCCTCAGCTCACATGCCATACAGCAGCCATGTGAAGCTGATAAATCACCATTCTCATATCTAATTACTGCGTACTTCTTGGCTAACTGCCAATCAAACCACACTTGTTTCTCAAGAGTTGGATTTTCCATTTTGGTGAGTACTTTGTTCTGTGAGCATTCAGGAAAAAGGTTGTTATTTAATAAAACAGTAGGCAAAAGGATGTTTGGAAAGATTTGCACCCAAAATATGAAGATAACTGAAACTAGTCGTTGTGTCCTTACTCATTTGTTCTGTTAAGTAGTTGAAATGCTGGCATTTGACAAACTATTGGCAGATTGCTTTGTTTTAGACTTTATCTACAATGTTCTTTTAATCAACATGGGCTTGACTTAATCTTTTTTTTGTCTGTTATTGTTCATTTAGAGGCAGTCTGGCACTAAACCAAATCCTCCACCTTATCCACACAGACTTATACTGTCATGTATTGCTCAACATTTTATAGTGGAGGAATTTTAAAGATTAATTGTGGATTTGGATCCCTATCTTTTATAACAGTCCAAACATACACAGCAGAGTTGAAGCGTCAAATTCCCCCTGCCTTTCATAATTTGTAGATCTATTGGCCTTTGAAGTGTTCACACTTACGCCATCTAACATGTCTCCCAGACTCCCAGCAGGAGTAATCGATCCTGGCAATGCTACCATCACTTTCCATCTCTGTTTTCAAATTTCTTACGAGAGAATGAGAGAATTGACTTTATAATTGGCACACAGTTTCTTTATCAATACTTTCCAGATCCCAGATGGAAGTTTGATTGACATGCTATAGTTTAACATTTATCCACTTAACTCTTGTTTTTGAGGTATGCTGACCAACATCACAGAATGCACTTTAAAATGGAAACTTTTGTTATTTTTAATTTAGAGAAATTCAGTATATAACCCTTCATTATTTTTGAAAATTGTCTTGCGTTTAAAGGTGGTAGCCTGAGTGAAGTTATTTGTGCTCGCTCCTAAAATGCAACATGCCCTTTCCTGTAGTGTTCATGCAGAACAACGCTTATTTTAAGATTGATTCAAACTGTTCTTACATTGGTGTGACAAATGTGATGGAGCTTCCTTGCTGTTCATGGTCAACTTTTGAGGGTAACCAGGAGTTTGTTGTTCTTGTCTTTCTCAAGTACGTTAGCAGAGTTTCCCTGTGTTTTCCCTCTTTTTTGCCTCTTGTAAATTAGTAGAAGAACAACTTTGCGGGTTATGCAATAAGACGATTGTAGTACTTATTACATATC